ATATATATAGCAGAGCTGGTATCCCTCAGCCTCACCTGATAAATCTGAAACAGAGCTTTTTTCATGAAAATAACTTGTCCAAACTCTCACTACCAAAATCAGGAACTAAATATATTCAGGCGAATTTCTGAGACAGAACTAGTATCCCTCAGCCTCAAAACCCTCCCTATTTGCTACCCAGACCTAGATCCCTCCCTACTCGCCAAACCAGACATATTTGAAACAGAGCTGTTTTCCCTCATCCAACCTCTCCCTACTCAACATCAAAAACGCAGGAACCAAATATATTTACACAACACAGTACCCTTACCATCCCAATTCTTGCCACTGGAGCTCAGGAAAATGAAAAGATTTGAAAAGGTTTTTGAGTTAGAGATGATATTCCTCATTATCTGCACTCTTTCTACTCACTATATAAAATGCACAAACATTTGTTTTTTTAACAGCCAGTTTATCAACACACCACCAGATCTGTGTGACAAAGAGGAAGAGTAAAAGAGCTGGCAGGAAACACACACACACACACACACACACAAAATGCAAAACCAAAATCCCTTCAGATAACTTGGGGTCTTTCACTGTCTGAACTATCAGAGCTCTCCCTCTCATAACTCAGGTATCAAGTAGATTGGGACAGTGAGGGATGCTTGTGTTGTTATTACTAGGTTTGGATAAATGTTTTAGGTAAATGAGATTGGTATGGTATCTCGTTCCTCAAACTCTCACTACTCTATGAGAAATGCAGGAACAAAACATAAATGAATAACACATTACCTCCTCACTATCCAAATTCTCCAACTGTCCTCAGAATCAAGGAGATTCGGACAGCAAGGGAAGCTTGTTGTTGTTTTGTCATTGCTGTATGGGCCTGATTCTAACACCCAATGACTGCCCTGCCCCAGACCTGCCCCACAGAGGTTGGATGCACTTATCACAAGGATTTGTATGTTTACTGCTGAGAGAAGGGGTTAAGCTCCTGCCCCATCCCACCCCTACCAAACCTTGAAGTCTCTGGCCTAGAATGTACTTTTTTTTCAGGCCAGGAAAGCAGGGATCATGCACTCAGGGTCAAGACCAGGAGATGGGGTGACAGGACCTGGAAGAGCCACACATACCCTTGAGTCTCCCATCCCCACATATTTGCTCACTCCCCCATAGGGCAGCCCCCAACCTAGCAAGGCTGGAAATATGACCCAGACCTCACAGACTCCCAGAGAGTCACTGAATAATTTAGGGTGTTCTTCCATACTTAGGGAGGGTGGGGAGCATAGAAACAGTTCTATGCCCTCTTAGGGCAAGGAGAGAAATGCAAGCTCTGTGTGAGATCACTGGGCCGGCATGGGGGAAATCACATACAAAAACCACTTCGGCCACATGAGGCCCGAAAGGCTGCTTGTTCTTCTCATGCTAAGAGAAGCATTTGGGATGAACTTCAGAGACAACGGGAACAGCGGAACCTCCCAGTTCAGGGCAGGGTATAATGGGAACCCTTTCCTTCTGGCTCAGAGGAGGTAGAAAGTGGGTGTTAGGAAGGAGGGAGATCTGAATAGGGTAGAGGGGCATGGAAAGGGGTAGGACAGGAGCCTGGGGTTGGGACAGAATGAAGGGACAGGACAGAAAGGAATATAGGGGGCAAGATAAAATCAGTCATTGTAGGATGGAAATCAGGAGGTTGGACAGAGAAGGAGCCAGGACACTGGCCAGGAGATGGGATGGAGTGAGATTCAGGTCAAGGGTTAGAGAAAAAAGTAGGTGGCAGTAGAGAACAAAAGGGCAGAGCAGGGGTCAGGGTCGGCATAGAACAGTAATCAGAAGACATGATGGGTGACAGGCCAAGACAGTGATCAAAGGAAGGGATAGGAAAAAGGGCAGGTGCAAGATGGAGGTAAGGAACAGGAAAAGACTGGGGTAGAACGAGGATAGGAATGAGGACAGTGATGGGACAAGAGAAGACAGAGGAAAACAGCACAGGTTTGGGGGCAGGGATAGGGCAGAAGACAAAGGGATGATCTAAAGGTGGTTAGCCAGGATGGAGACCAGGAGTCAGGAGAGGGACCAGTGGGATAGTACAGGGCTGGGAGAAAGTACAGATGTCAGCGGTCAGGAATCTGGACAGACGGGGATCAGACTTGGGTTAGGGAGACAGAATAAGACTGGAAGGAGTTCAGAGACTGCATAAGAGTTTAGGAAACAGACAGGTCAAGCATCAGAGCAGAAACTGGGGTGATCAAGACAAAGCAAGATGAGCTTCAGAGATGGAACAGGGTCAGGCAAGGATCTGGGGTCAGGCCAAGACTCCTGAGAACTGGATGGGGTTTGGGATCAGGACTAAGTTTAGGGTGACAAAACAGAAGTTGAGCATGACACCAGGCCAGAATATGGTTAGGTCAGGGGTCAGACCAGAGGTCCTCCAGTCAAGAATGGCCCGGGTTCGAGATTTTTAAAAGATGTAGTCAGGTTCGCAGGGGTAGAGTGAGACCACGGGGTCAGAGGTCGT